GAGAGAGAGAGAGAGAATATAAATAATCATGTAGAAATGTATTCAGAGACACTGCTGGCTCTCCCCATGTGGTTTGATAGAGAGACTTTAGGTGTCTGGTTTGTTATGAGCAGCAGAGAGAAGGAGGACGTGAAGCACCAAGGTGTCTGAAGAAGGCTCGACTAAAATATTGCCTTCAGAGGTTTTTCAAAGCAGAGTAAGTGCAAACTGTATCACAGGCAACATGATATTTACACAAAATGACTATTTATAACTAATGCAAATCATTAGTGAAATGCTCTTTTTGACTGACTGAATTAATTTGATCATGAAAAGTACAGAGTAACTTATTTCTATATGCTGGGATGCTGGATGTTTCAAGAATAAATATTAATAAAAATACATTTCAAGAATAAATATCAATAAACAACAATTCAGTTTTGTGAAATTATCAAGAAACATATTCCAGAACTAAAGACATGAACTGCTTCTAAAAGGATGGACATATTTTACATGTCATACTGTAGCAGAAAGAGCACAGGACTAATTAATAACGCTAATAACAACCACATACCATTTAGGTACTAAGGCATTCTTGTTAAATTAAATGACTCAGACACTTAAAAGAACTGAGCCTTCATTAATATTACTAGCTACACTTGTTCTTTTCCTGCTATGATAATTCAACGGTCTGCTGTGAAAAAGGACAACTTCCCTTTCTGTCATATAATGAACAGCTGTTGTTGTTCTCACCTGTGGACATCGTGCGGCGCTGTAGCAGTCTCCAGCTGTTGCAAAAGGAACACTTTTGCCTTCACGAGTGAAAGCAAACTGCCAATCTGTAGCTGAATAACAAAACAAACCATCAAGCTCATCAGCACAATGTGACAGACTTTCTTGGAAATGTGTTGCTATAGGACCTCAGTTGAACTTTTATAATGATAACTTACATCTGCCATAATGACCAAGCCTTGTGCTATTTAACTGGTCTAAATCTAGCCTTAGTTTTAGGGTCAGCCTAATATCAGTATAATTTCACCTACTTAGAGCAGTTTCATTTAATCCCCTCAAGCCTTGTAATTGTGTGTTGCTTAAATGAACCTTGAAGACATCTTGAGCTCATTAACCCTCATGAGCACGGACATAATTAAATGGCAAAGGAAGTTCTTATTTGAGAGTAATGTAGAGTTTACACTGGCACAGGATGCTGGTATGTGTGTGTGTGTGTGTTTGTGAGTGCCATCTGATTTCTGTGTGTGTAAAGGCCACTCACTGATGATGTTCATTTTGCTGAGGTCAAGGCGGACTTTGGAGAAGGTGGTGATGCCAGCGGCGGTGTAGTCTCTCCGACAGTCGCAATCCTCTCTTCTGGAGCCATTGGTTGGACACTGGGTGGGGTCATTGAGCCTGGGAAACACACACACACACACACACATACAGGATATCTTACCTCACTTTACACTTTTACACAAAATTAATTTATTCATTTTACAGACAAAAACACTGCCAGATGTCTGTTGGATTTTCTAATGAAATAACAGGCTGTTCTCATTGTTATTCTGTTAGCTATTTACCTGAAGCCAAAGATCTCTGAAAAATTCTCCCTTTCTCCCGTCGTCAAGGTGATATACTCCTGTGGAGTCTCCGTCTGCATTCCTGCACAGTAGACCTGAGGACAGAAGGCGGAGGAGGAGGGAAAGGAGAGTTGGTAACCAGAGGGCGGAGTAGGGCGCCAAGGGTGAAGGAAATGGATGCAGGTGGTAGGACGGTAGAGAGAAAATAGGAAAGTAGAGAAGAAGTGCAGAATAGAAAAGAAAGGACAATAATGGTGATGAGGAGGTGAGGAAAAAAGAGTAGAGTGGAGGATGTAAAAATGGCAGTTACAAGCCCCAACAAACACAGAAGAAGAATTTCCTCTGACAGCGTCTATTTGTGAGCTTGTACACCAAGCCAGAGCGCCAAACTTATGCCTAAACACAAGCTGGGAAAGATGAATTATAAGCATTTTGTATTGTAATACAGGCCCATACACAGTCACACAAGCACATAAACGCAGCAAAATATCCTGTCAGTGTTTAGGTCACACAGGCACACAGGGCTACTTTTCCACTGTCCCTCTCCCCTCATAACTAAAACCCAGTCATGGCTTCATAAAATGTGCTTTGTGCATTTGTGAGGTAATAAGATCATAAAATTGTACCTTGAGTGCTTTTCCTTGAATATTGAGAAAGTGTTCGCTGTCTGGGAGGGGGCCTTTAATGCTCTGGACGTCTTGACAGCTGGATGGCAAATGGCCTTAGAGATACAAAAGAAGTAAAAAATAAGTAGGTATACAGCAGTGTATTATAGCAGGAGTGTATTATGAAAAAGATTTAACACAGGACAGGTACTCAGGCTGTGTACACAGACGTGTGCACGCATACACACAAGAATTTCAGGAGTTTAGTCAAGTGTGGCAAATTGCATTAAAGAAAACGAAAAACCATTCACTCTTTGATGTCCCATCCTACCGTAGGGAAGTGAATACACTGGACAGTGAATCTTTGAAGTTTGCCTCGGATCATAAATATTTCACTAGAGGCCAAATCTCTGAGATGACCAGATCAAGTCAAGCCATACCTAATACTGGAATTCAGCTGGCCTCTATGTAACCCCCTAGCCTCGACCTTTGTGAAAAGAGCAGCAGTTTTCTCGCAGTACTCACAGCTTGGATTTCTGCAGACCTTTCTGGCCTCTGGCATGGTGTCTTGAGAACACTTATTGCTTTCCTGACCATCTGCTGCCACACACTGCACTGTCCTCTCCATCACTCCATCACCGCAGCTCACTGAACACTGGAGGGGAGGAAGAGAACCATGACAGTGTGAAAATAAAACTTGTGGATGACAGTCTGTCAGCAGTTTTTATCTTCAAAGTGGCTCCTTCAAAAAAATGTGTGTGCGTTTACATTATGGTCATTTCAATACTGATTATTTTCCTATCAGCTATGACACTGGTTGAAGCCAAATATAAAATGTTATTAACGTCTCATATATGTTAAAGGAAACCTTCCTCCCTCATGTATAAAATGACTGCATAAATGGCTCCTTCATGAGATTAACGATTGTAGTCAAGTTTGCAAACTTAGCGCAAATTTTATAAAAAATGTTATTTAATGCATGTTTTCATCTCCTATGTGAATATTAGCAGTTGACTGCAATGAGATTAAACAACTGGTGGTGCTATCTCCATAAACCATCACAGAAGAAGATATTACGTAATTAAAACAGCACCAGTCAAACCTCAAACGAACTAGGAACACTTATGTATTAATTTGAGGAAAGATGCGATGTCTTCGTGTTGTTAATATTTTTGTCTACTGTTATTTTTAATTTTTTCACTAGATGTTTAAGTCACATGCTTCATTTACATCATCATTTATTCCCTAAATCTGTTTCTATTGCACTTTTCTCTTTTACAGATACACCAACTTTCCCAGCTCAACCAAAAGTAAGACAGTAAAAGGAAAACTTTTTTGCAATATTTTAACTTTCTGGGGGTTTCCACTCATTCACAAATTTAAAATGCACATAAAAACAGGTTGATGGAAGTGTAGTTTGTCATATAAATTAACTGTTACTGTTTAATAATCTACTGCATTATAGCCACTGAAATATGTCACAATTATGATATTTTTAATATTGCAATTAGTCACAAAACTAGAGAAGACTGTTTAACTTGCTTTTATTAACCTCACCATCTGTTAACCCACCTTTTTTCCAAAGGTACACAAGGTCTCAAACTAAAAACATGCATGTTCCATCTTGACAAAATACTGATAAATGACTGGACAACACTTAGAACCACAGACTCACTCACCAGTCCCCAGATTCCAACCCTCCACTCCTGTGGCGGCGGGCACGGGTCCAAATTACAAGGCATGTAGCTTTCAGGAGGGGTCCCAGGGCAGTTGGACAAAGACTGATGGCCATACTCATAGTTGTCATTCTCCACATGCACCTCGCTGCAAGAGATCAGACGCTGGCGGTAGCCCTGGCCACAGCTGGCTGAGCACTGGAGGAAAGAATAAATCACTGGCATGAAATAACAACAGTATTCCACACAGGAAACATGGGTGATTTCTGTCATTTCCGTATCACTTGTATCGAAGATGGTGATTCACATGAAGGATCTTTTTGAAGAGTAAAGTAGTGCCTTTTCAGAGAAAAATGGCTTTTTTACGATTCAGATTCCAAAGCCTTTTGTGGGACGTCATAGTTTAAATGGCTCTCACCTCAGTCCATTCCCCTGTGATCCAGATTAACTCACAGGCATTCATGTTACAGCTCTCTATTTCTGGAGGTCTGATCTGGTTCACACAGTACATCTCATGGACCTCCTGCTGGTTGTGGTCCACACACTGCAAGGCTCGTTGTCGGTGGCCCACTCCACACGACTTACTGCACTGTAGTGGGGACGGACAAAAGACAGACACAAAGATCATAACAAATCATATATGACATTACTATATTATGGATAATATATATAATGCAGGAAGCTGTATGTGAAACTAAGAGGTTTTTTAAATTAAAGATTCTCAGTAAACACCAGTGTTATGGTATCAATGCAAAACAAGAATGAGGATGAACAGTCTGAGATTTGTGTCTTCTTGTGAAGCAGCACCTTCACCACATGGGACTACAGCATGAAGATCTCAAAACAGTAGATAAGAACTGGGAGGAAAGTTCTGTGTTCTTGAGCAGAAGAACCTGAGCTGAGTACATGGCCAAGTCCTGAGAAGAGATTACACAACTTCTAACTCCTGAAGCTGTTTACAGTCCACGGCAATAATGTGTCTGTTGAAAGGTCAGAGCTGAAATTCACTAGCAGTTTGGTCTCAAGATCCAGACTGTTCCCAAAAGATAAGAATATGACAATATGATATATTAAATGTATAGGTAAACCTTTTTATAAATAGGCTTATTTTCTTCCGTCCATTAGCGGCAGTGGGTGACTTTTAAACTCTCTACCCTGACAGTAGTGCATAAGACAAATAATCTGTGAAAAAAAGTTCCTTTGGCTCGTCCTAGTTTTCTAATGGCATTTGAGGAATTGCAAGCCTGAACGAAGACAACCAATCAGAGGCTAGAAAAATGGTTTATTGTTGAGTCTTCCCAGGGACCCAAAACATTGGTATTTGACGACCTTAACAGTCAGCTACCTTTCTGTCTCATGTCCTAATGTCAGGATATAATTAAAGTTTCAACAAATATGACCAAAAGTTATTTTTTTATAAATGTTACATACTGCAGCTTTACAAAACTATAAACAGTTACTTCTAGCAAAGCCACAAGTTTTTATGTTTCTGTATGTCTACGGATTACACAAACAAGCAACCCTCTTACAGTGTTTATGCTAAGCTAAGCTAGTGTCTACATTTAACGTACAGACAAGGGATGTTCTCATTCAAATCTTGTCAAAAAAATCAAGTAAATGTATTTCCTAAAATTTCAACTATTAAAATGAAATGGTTAGACACTTGACTTTGCCAGGCCAATGGTTATAAATGGAGTTGCTATGAAAGTGGGGTCCTTTGATGAAGAGTTTACCTGACTGCAAGTTTGAACCTGGATGTCTTACTACATCCAGGTTCATGTAGTAATTCAATAATAACGACATTCAAACTTGCAAGAGTCGTAATTTAAGCCTAAACATTGAAAGGGCTAAGAGGGGCTTCCACTTGCGTCAGAAACACTCTGTGGAACAAATGCACCGACTCCAGCTGGTCTTCATCACTCCTAACATGTTGAACACTGTCAAACAACTGAAATACTTGGAACTGCTATTGTGAGCTTTGCTGCTGTGCTATGCTGGAATAAAACTAACCCTGCAGGACAGGCACCTGAGTTTCATTATGTTTTGGTAATGTTGACACCAGACAAAGCTACAAGGGAACATATTTCATTCTAACAGGTTGAGCCTATAGAAACAAGTTATGTATGTAAAAAAGTTAAAAAAGAGCATAAAACACAACCAGCATAAGATAAGCATTGCATTGACTGCATCAGTAAGATATAAAATAGAATCTACTGTGTAGATATACATACAGATACATAGACACCTATGTATTCAATGTGTATTTAATATGAGTGAATACTATGAATATTGTAAACTTCCTTGGCAACATGTTTTTTGTTTGTGCCAATAAAGAATTTGAATTTGCATAAAACACATAGGGATGTTAACCCCTGCCAGGTAAACTGTTGTAATTATCTCCAGCTGTTAATTGGGACACTCCAGCGGGGAGCTCCCAACACTTCTCCAGACTAATTAGACTCTCCTTTCTGAGAAGACATTTCATGCTGCTCAATGGCCCAGATTCAACATCATAGAACACAGTGAAGGAGACGCTCCTGTTGCAGTTGCCTGTTCTAATAAACTCAACAAGGATCTGTAGCCTCAAGCTTATAGAAAATGTTACTCAGCAGGAATGTGCTCATTAAGTATACCCTGGGTAAGACTGAGGCCTTATATACAGCGACAAGCCTCTCTATCAGGTATCTTCAGGTATTAAAGATAGAAATGTGTGTGTTCTATATATAACCTCATAATAAGAAGCTGGACTGTCCATGTAGCTTTTAAGTAGCAACATGTAGCCTTGTTAACGTTTAGATAGACAACATGACAACAGTATTGTCTCACAGCTGCCTTTACTTTACTTTTCAACTGATTCTAAAAAAGGGAATTAGCCAATCAGCATTAAGGGACAGGTCTAAAGGGGTGGCATAGGGTGGCAGCTGGCACCCCTAAAAAATATATGGCCACCCCAGCCTGATGTCAAATGCTGTCAAATTTAGTATTAATTTAAAAAATAATGTGTTTAAAAATGGCAATTAACACATACAATTCAATAGACTAAGTGTTTGGCTAAAGTTCAATGACAAAACACATGTATTGGAAAAATGTCAATGAAACATTTCTAATGTGTCAACTTTATATATTTATATTCAATGCTTTACTAATATGCCACAACAATGTAAAGTTTTTGAGTTCATTTGATATCATATTTGTCCGCGCCCCGTGAATGTGTCTGTAGATCCGCCGCTGCCATTAAGACCGGAGGTATCCATCACAACGAGGTTTCAGCTTGTTTGAAAAAAGGCTGATCATCTGATTTCCATCAGGGCCAGCGCCTCCTCTCCTCCCCTCTGGCCTCCGACGGGAGCAGCACTCATACTTCACCAGATATGACAGAGCAAATCATCGTCGTCCGGTTGCAGACAGAGAGCTGAAACTTCTTGTTTCAGCACGCAGGTTACGATGTTTTTTTCCCCCTGTACAGGCATTAATACAGGGCTTCGTCAGCTTACCGTTTGCCAGTCTCCTTCTCTCCACCGGTACCGGGAGGGGCAGTCAGCGACCCGGCAGCTCTGGCTGGACGCCGGTCTGGAGCGCTGGGAGCAGCCGCTCTCCAGCGGGCTCCGTCGGTCTCCAACCTGGCAGAACACCTCCCGACGCTGGACGCCGTCACCACACGATGCTGAACACTGGAAAACAGGACAGGTAAGAGCTTTAAATTTAGCTTTATCAGACCTTCATTAGTCCGATAAAGTGTAGGCTATTGTTTTACTGCATTTTACTGCATATCAACCTATCACTTTATATTCCTGTCATACTGTGACTACCGCCATAAGCCTCGAGAGTTTATTGACTTTGACTTCATGGTTTCTACTCTGTTTACTTTGACTTTATGTGCTATGAAGATAGTTATAACATTTATTTAAGGGAATATATTTCATCAAAACCAACACATATTGTATTACATATACTATGTATTACATACATATTATATAGCCTACTATATTACTACTTCACTACATTTATTATTACAATATTTTATTGTATTTTATGTGTCCCATCACATTTTTTTTTTAAAGTAATTATTCTCACATTCCGTCTAAACATGTTCAATACAGAATTGTGCTGTTTATTGATGTAAATGCATACTTTAAATTTATTTTCTTTACTAACTAAAGTCTGAAGCAGTCCAAGTGTGTTTTTAACAGTACAAGTGCATTACAGACAGGGCTTGGCGTGTTACTGAGCACTATGTGGGAAATATGTTTAAATAACTGTAACCAAGCGTCCACGTTTATATTTAAGTTATGTGGTTTATATTAATGCTGATGTTTTCCGACAGAAATGTGAAGAAATTCAAGTTGAAGCCTGGAAAATGCATTTTGCAAAACCGTGTCTAAGCTCCAGCAGCGATGTTTTTAATGAAAGTGTGGGTTTTCGGCTGTAACACAGAACACATTTCTACAGGAAACACAAAGAATGGGAGAGGGATGAAGAATCCGTTTTTTCTGCCAGGTCTGTTTAGATGTTAACCGAGATGACTAAAACAATCCCATGATATAACCAAAGCATACATTTGAATGTTTTAACTTAAAACTTTGCATTAATGGATTTGGATATTAACAACTATCTTGTGTCTTTCCTCTTTTGAAACAGATGATGATTCTGAACAACCTGCACTGCACTGATGTTAATTCATTACTACCGTATATACATTATAATAGATTATATCAGCATCAGAATCAGAATCAGATTTATTGCCAGGTAGGTTTTTACACATACAAGGAATTTGTCTT